TTGGTACCAGGGATGGAATTTGGGTCCTTGCCCTTGGAAGGAAGGCGGCTGTTTTGGTTTTTTTGAGACAGGGTCTCACTATGTAGTTCTGGCTGGCCTTGAACTCTTTGTAGCACAGGTGGGCCTAACTTGCAGCGATCCTCCTGCCTCACCCTCCCGACTGCTGGGATTATAGGTGTGTGCCACCACGCCCAGTTCTTTCTCCTCTGACCCCCACTTTTGAGGGGAGGCAGCATTTGTGGCTTCTCTGTGGGAACATCAGGCACTCCCTGTACCTCACTGGGATCTGGTGTGGCAGTTGTTACCCTGGGTGAGCTCGCTGGTGAGAGCCCAGCCGGCCCTAGCTGGGTGTCCTGGGTATCCCGTCGGATCGCTTTTTCCTGATTGCCATGGAAATACAGCCTGCCACAGGCTCAGGGTGTGGCTTTTGGAGCCCTAGATCAACTGCAGTGCCAAGTGTAGAATGCTGGTGAGAAGGGCGAGGCCTGTTGTCCCTCCCTCTCCCTGCCTCTGCCCTGCCTCTGTGGGTGGCGGGCATCGGGAGTGGTCCTGACCACCATTGGCCTGAGCCCTGTGGGGTGTGAGTGCTGGGCCCTGTCCTCACCCTGCACAGCAGCCCTGTGTGGCCTGGTGGTGGGGAGATGCTATCTGTCCGGGACTCATTTTGGGGGGCTGAGGTCCAGGGTGCTTCAAGGCTCTCCTATGCCTCTTTCCTGTGCGGTTGCCACCCCTCCCTGTTGGCCTGGTCCAGGGCTGTGGCCTCAAAGCCCCCCAGGCTGCAGAGCTGCCTCTGCCCTGGGGCCCTGAAGGATCCACTGGCTCCGTGTGCTCAGGGAGCTGTGCTCGGTCCTTGGTTTGCCCGGCACATGCCTGTTTGTCTCGTCATTTGCTATAGTCGCCTGTTGTGCGGGTGTCCCGTCTCAGTTCTGCCAGAGCTGCACCCTGGGCTTCCACGGCAGCCCTGGACGAGGGAGACCCGGCTTCCTGGAGCTTCTCCGGCAGCTTTCTGGGGCTCCACCAGAGGGCGTTGCGGGCATGGGCGTGGGCCGAGGGCTCCAAAGGCAGCCAGGCGGCTATCCAGGCTTGTTCCCAGCGGTGCCACGCCTGAGTGCTCTGTGGAGCCGGACCTTGAGGCTCCGTCCAGCACAGCACTGTCCTCCTGCACCTGGAGATGCACCAGTCCCGTAGCCTCCCAGCCATGACTTTTTCTCCAGCCCTGTCACCTCCGAAGTCGTCTGAGGCTTTTGCACTTGCACACAGCCTGTCCCCCAAGCCTGCATGTAGCTGGCATGGGAGGCACCGAGGGGGACGAGGAGGAAGTGGGGCCTGTGTGCATGATGCTGGTGGCTGTCCTATTAGGTTGTGGGGTGGCTGTTTTCACTTTGGTCTTGATGAAATGGAGTCTCTTGGCCTGGGCCTGGTGTTGGGGACTGAGTGGTGCTTTTCTGAGCCTCTTTTCTCTTCCACCCAGCTCGCCAGCAAAGCGCGGACGGAGAAGGAGGAGAAGCTGAGCCAGGCCTATGCAATCAGTGCTGGCGTCTCTCTCGAGGGCCAGCAGCTCTTCCAGACCATCCACAAGACGTGAGTTGGGTGTGTGGGAAAGCTGGACACAGTGCATTGTGGCCATGAGGGCTCGCCTCTGGCCTTCAGTTTCTTGTCTGTGAAACTGCTTTGGCCAGGCATATGCATACCTGTAATCCCAGCTACTCAGGAGGCTGAGGCAGGAGGATTATAAATTTGAGGCCCATTTGTGCAACTTGGCAAAGGCCCTGTCTCCAAAGAAGGGGAGTGGCTGCGGATGTCGCTCGGGTGGGGCATTCGCATGTGCCAAGCCCTGGGTTCAAGCTCAGCACCGCAGGAAACCTTACTGTGGATTGGACTTTGCATGTTTCCTTCCAGACACAGTGCCTAATTTAGTTTAGGTTTGATTTTTGTTTTTTTGAGACAGGGTCTTACTTTGAAGTTCAGGCTGGCCTCACACTCACTGTGTAGCCCAGGCTGGCCTCAAACTCACAGTGATCCTCCTGCCTTAGCCTCCTGAGGGCTGTGATTACAGGTGTGCGCCACCACACCCAGCTAGTTGTGCATAATTTAGAGCTTGTAATTTCTTTCCTCCTTTCCCTCCTTCCTTTTTCCTGTTCCTTTTCATTGTTGCTGTTGCTGTGCCACCTTTCTCTGAAAGCTGGTACACTGTTATTAGAACACTGTGTGTCCGTTTCCTGTGCTGTACATTGGGATGAACCTGGGCAGCTGGGGAGAGCAGAGGCCACCTCTTTCCCCTGTCCTGAAAGACACCGAGTCCCCGCGGAAGTCATCTGACTGCCCTCCCTGCACCTCTTTCCCCTGCCAAGCCATCCAGGATCCATCTGCTTCAGCCTCCCAGAATACAGGGATTGCAGGGTGCACCATCACTCCTGGCTGCCCCCAGTGTTCCTTTCTCCAGCTTTGATGCTTCACGGTGGCAGCTGTGGGCCCTCCTTGGGGTCAGTGCCCTTGGTTTCTTGCTCTGTGCTCCTGGCTGCTGTGAGCCGTGGCATCTGGGAGGTTGGGCTCGTCCTCCTAGAGTGCGGTGCCTGCAGATGACGTCTCTCCACTCTTCTCCTTCCAGCATTAAAGACTGTAAATGGCAAGAAAAGAACATCGTAGTCATGGAAGAAGTTGTTATCACGCCCCCCTATCAGGTGGAAAACTGTAAAGGCAAAGAGGGGAGCGCACTCAGCCATGTACGCAAAATAGTAAGTGATGGGGCTGGGAGGGCGCAGACACGTGTTGGGGACACACTTCTGCCCCGCACTGTGGGTGTGAAGGTGGGGCGGGCCGGGTTGGAGCCTCTGTCGCTGGGGGGCCGCTCTGTTCGGCCTTGCGGGGCGCAGGCCTGGGTGCCGGGCAGTGGGGGCAGGGCTCCGGGGAGATGCAGCTGAGCCAGGCCTGCTGGGCTCTTGCAGGTGGAAAAACATTTTAGAGATGTGGAAAGCCAAAAGATCCTGCAGCGCTCACAAGCCCAGCAGTCACAGAAGGAGGCAGCCCTGTCGTCCTGAGGCCACGCGGCGAGGACCTTAGCACCCAGCGCGGCGGTGGCGGCGGCGGCTCGCAGAGGCAGGCCGGGGAGGGAAGGGACCCCAAGTTTCCTGCTGGCTCCCACCCCTAGGGGCCAGCGCGTCCAGTCTTAGACTTGAACAGACAAACGCCCAACAAAAGCGAACAGAGATAATTTAAAGTCAGATCAGTACCTGGCTAACAGACTTGGCCGGCCATGTCCCTGTCACGCCCTTCTCTGACAGTCACCTTGTTGTTTTTATTTTTGAAAGCCCCTGCCCGTTCCAGCCGCTCACTCCTTTTCCTGCCCTACTTCCTGCCGTTCTGTTTTATAAGCGGCTCCAGTCGCCTTCCGAATGATTGAAAGAAAGTTTTACATCTTCTCTTCCAAAATAAAAGTAACAAGCTAACTGTGACTCTTGAGTTGAGACCAGAGCAGCTGACAAGAGGTCTTGTTTAAATTCTTTTTCTTAACTTTTTCTTGCTTTCTTTCTCTCTCTCTTTTTTTTTTTTTTTTTTTTTTTGCACAGGGCACGGCTTGAATTAGTTTTATTTTTCTTAACTTTAAATATATATATGAAAATATATATTAAAATGTTCTCTAAATATTTTCTGCTTCTTGCAGGTCTCTTTCCTAGATCATGGCCACTGCCCCACCTCAGCCCTGAACACACAGTGTTGCCCCCGCCAGAGCCCGCACAGCCCTGGGCCAGTGCCTGGGGTCTGAGGGCGGTGCACGGCAGTCCTCCCGCCAGGCACCCTCCTCCGGCCTGCCCAAGGTGGAAGCTTTCGAGCTGAGACAGCTTCAGCTTGTCTGTGCCACGGGAACAGGGGGAGCAGGCGGGCGTGGCGTGGCTGGCTGGCGCCTTGGGGGTGGCGTGGGGTTAACTACTACTCTTTTTGGCCATGATCTCCTTCCCCTTCCCTTTTTTTTTTAATTAAATGGATCAAAATTAAATAATTCAAGCCCTGCCTTCAAAATGGAAAAAAAATTTTTTTTTTTTAGTATTGTTTAGCAAAAACAATAAAACCCAAAATTTTTTAACCATCACTCACGTCTTGGGTTTGTTCATCCTTGAGGGGACCGGGAAGGGGTGTCTGTCCTGGAAACATGGCGCCTGTGCGGCCGCAGACAGGTAAGTGGCACTGCGGTGGTCCGCTGGGTAGTGTGGCTGGGCGGCCCCACCCTCCTGCTGGTCGGGTGCTGGGGAGAGGCCGGACGCTCCCAGACTCGGGCTTGTTGCTGAGGAGCAGTGGGAAACCTTTGGAAGCCACTCAGGAGTGGTGGCACGGCTGGAGAGGCAGGCAGAAGTGAGGGCTGAGGCCTTGAAACAGTGAGGTGCGAGCCCACACTCAGGAGGCTGAGGCAGGAACATCGCAGGCCCAGTCTGTCTGAGGAGCTTGGTGACCTGGTGAGACCCCGTCTCAGACTGGAAAGGGCCGCAGGTGCCACTTGTAGCACAGCGTCACCCGGTGCCTTGTGCTGCCGCAGGCCTCAGGCTCAGCTGGGGGGCTGGGGGGGCTCTGAGGGTGCAGCTGGGCGTCAACCTCCAAGCCCCTGGTGAACCAGGCCTTGAACCCCCCACTCTGGGCTTCTCTCCTCCTGGCCACCCCAAATCAGCTGCCCTGTGAACCCCTGCATCTGAAGAGGGGAGTGACTCCCTGAGGCCGGGTGGCAGTCCAAGATGCAGGGTGCCTGCTCTGCAGAAGGACTGCACCCAGGTGTCCCTCTGGGGTCCCAACATTGCCTTCCTGCACCGCAGCCAGGCAGTCTGGGCTGCCTCCTCACTCTAGCCCAGGCTGGTCTCAGACTTGCAGAAATCTTTCTGCCTCAGCCTCCAAGGGTGGGAATGACAGGTGCTCCTGTCCAGAACAGAGCAGAGAGGATGCTGACCTGTGAGTGTGCAGAGCTTTTGTTCAGGCCCTGGGGCTGGATGGGGCTGGGCGGCGGTGGTTCCCAGGACCCTGATCACCCCATTAGTGCAGGGCTCCTGCTGGGAAGCACAGAGTGTGGGCAGAGGCTTCCGCCCGGCTGGGGCCGGCCTGGGGTGTGTGCCTCTGCTTCCCGTGCTGGGCTGCTGAAGGAGCAGGAAGCCGTGTGCGGGGTGGCAGTGCTGGCCTGGCTCGCCCTGCTGTGTAGAAGCCTGACGTCAGCTGAGGTGCAGTGGGCAGGCCTGCCTGGGTCCCACCTGTGCCATGGTGTACAGCGTGCCATTGCCACCACGAGGCAGCTGGGACCACCACGGATGGGAGCCAGAAAGCCAGGCCGCAGGCTGTGGTGGAGCCGGACAGGCATGCCCTCCACAGCATGAAAGCCGTGTGTGGCTCCTGACACCAAAATGAGCGACAGGAACACTTATCACGGCCCTCCTGTCACTGTTGCCTGTGGGGACCCAAGTATCCTGCTGGCAGGCCCTCTGCGCCACCCCAATCCCCGCCCAGTGTGGGGCCTGGGCATCAGGATGTGGTGCGGCAGGACCTTAGCAGCCGGATGCAGAGTAGTCCCTGTCACAGTGGCTCCCCAGGCGGGATCCTGCCAGGTGCGTCCCGTGAGCCATGGGCTCTGCCCCCCAGAGCCAGACCCTACTAAGGGCCTGTCTTTCTGGCACCTTACCTGTGAGCCAGCTGCACCTCAGGATAAACAGCCTGCAGAGATACCAGCCTCCGGCCTGTTCTGGAGCACCACACTAGGCTCCTGGAGCGGGGCAGGCCCGGTGAGAAGCAGGTGCTCCTGGAACGGACCAGTGTCTCCCCACACCCATCGTCACAGGACACAGGGCGGAGCTCAGGCTGCAAGGACTTCCCAGCTTGTCCCTGTCCCTACCTCAGCACTGGCATCACAACCCGGAGCTCCCTCTGCTGCCCCGGGACTGGATCCTGTCCTTCCAGGCCAGGAGAAGGCAGTTTCTGGCAATGGATGTGGAGTGGGAGGAAAGGGGTATCCTAGGTTGAAAGGCCCATTTTTATTTTTATTTTTTGGTACTGGGAACTGAACAACTCAGACCTTTGCACTGAGCTACACTCCTGGCCCTTTCTTTTTTCCTTTTTTAAAAATTTTTATTTGGAGGCAGGGTGTGGCTAAGTTGCCCAGGCGCGACATGAACTCAGTCCTCCTGCCTCAGCCTCCCAGAGTGCTGGGATGACGGGTGTATGCCCTGTCAGCTTTTCATCCTCACAGGCATGAGAACGTGGGCACCTGGGCCAGGCTCAGGCGGAGGCAGCTCTTGCGTGAAGCCTCAGTCACAGTCCTGGGGGTGACGACAGGTGGCTGAGGCTACACTGGGGTCAGGTGCTCACTGAGGCCGCTGAATGGCACCAGTTCCGTCTCTCCCCTGGCATCACCACATGCGCAGGTCCCAGGCCGAGAGCCAAAGCAGGCGTCCTGCATCCTCAGGTACCAGTGTTGCCTCACTCCAGCCCACTGGCACCTTCCCCTCTTGATGGCATCAGCCTTTCCCTGGCACCCGCATAGCAGGCCCAGTGCCGGGCCCCTGCCTGGCTGTGCCCAGGGAGGCTCTGGGGCCCCTTGCAGGCTCATGGAGTTTGGGCCTGGAGCTGGTATGGTCATCGCGGCTGCCTGCTGCCTGGCTCTATCAGGCCTTGGGACAGTGCTTCCTCACAGTCCTGCAGGACTCCGCTGTTCTCACCCCTGTGCCCCAAGGCCTTCAGGCAGCCAGCTGGGAGCCCTATGTCCCACGGCTATTGCAGTGGCCGTGGAGTTCTGGCTGGAGACAGCCTCGGCCAGAGGGCCTTGCAGACTCTGGGCCCTCTTGCAGTGGGTACATGGCACTGTAGCCCTGGCCCCAAGATGGGTGACTGTGACCTGCAGTGACAGGAAGCCCCTTCATTAACATACTGAGCACCAACCACAGACTGGTCACAGCAACGTGGCCTTTCCTCCGTGCAGCTCGCAAATCCTGGGTGTCCTGCATGTTGTCCCGGAACTAACAATGGTCAACAGTGTCTGTTCTCAGAGCTCTTACAATCTATGGCAGAGAACAGCCATTATGAAGAGCCACAAACAAGCTGGGTACAGTGGCACAGGCCCATCATCCCAGTGCTTGAGAGGCTGAGGCAGGAGGACTGTAAATTCCAGTCCAGTTTGGGCAAATTTAGCCAAATTTTGCCAAATTTGCAAATTTAGCAAATTTAGGGAGATCCTGTCTCATAAAAAACAGAATAGGGCTGGGGATGAAGCTCAGTGCAAAGGCCCTGGGTTTGATCCCTAGTACTTGGGCAAGAGAGGAAGGAGTTGGGGCCGTGTGCCAGGCCCAGCACTGCCTCGGTCACCCTCCCAGCAGGTCCCTGAGGCGCTGTCACCCCCCCCCCCCCCCC